GTGACCATTCCCTGGGGAGCCTCTTAAAGAAATTAATTTCTAGCACACATGTAACTTGTATCTACTTGTTTACAAATTGTGAACCAAAAATTGACATTAAACACTATATATGTGGAACTTAGGAACACAAACCACAGAACTATTCCAATCTCAAGTAGATGTAGAGAAGGAATCTCAGTTAATATCAGATCACTCTCACAGTTGTCTTATTGCACCAGTGAATAAAGATAGTTGCCCAAAATCTATGTCTCATTATAATGCATGAGTAACTAAGACAATCATACCTCAGACTTCTGGAAAGTATTGGGAGCCTGGGTTTAGAGTTGGGAGTGAACACAGGGTTTTCATATGAAGAGAAATGGTCACAACTGACAATTCATCAAAACTGAAATTATTCCCAGAAGAACTTCCTGTCCTCAAAAAAAAAAAAAAAAAATAGAAAACCCCAGGTTTTGAAATTCTAGAAATATGTCATTTCAACATTTTTAAAACAAAAACGCTTGGGTTTGTGGTTGAAAGCATCTTTTCCCGATGAAACTTAATTTAGTTTATATTAAAAGGTTATAAAAAGAAAAAAAGGGGTCACCATTAAAATGAAATACGCTTGTTTGTTTCTTAAGTCACTCATATATTCACTGTGTCCCATGCCAGACCTAAAATTTCAAAATCAACAGAACACATGTGGGACAAGAAAACTGTTCTGTATATACACACAGCAAAGGGAACATTAGCAGTTCAAGCTCTTCCCAGTTTCCTTGCAGTGCAGCTCAAAAATTAGTTTGGACAATCCCCCTGATGGATGGAAACATAGTCTAGTTCTCCAACCTTTTAAATGTTTAAAGACCTTTTTAATTTCTTGTATATTATTATACTTTTTGAAATACTATACAGCTAGTCTTTAGGGGACTAAAATGGAGGAGTTACTTCAACCATAACAACCCGAAATTGTTCTTTTAGATTAATGAAATCAAAGCATTAAATATACACTCCTATATTTTACTATGGCCATTGCATGGCCAATAGATTAGTGACTGTTGGAACTATTATGGCAAACTAGGTTGTGGGGTTTTTTAAAGGATAATATATTTGAGAGGCCACTCCTTTTTTTCATCATCCATCTTTTCCAATCATCTTCTCAGAAAAGCAAAAAACACAGTAACAAGAGAAAGCTGAACTTATTTGAATCAGTTCAGGTTATAAATTTATGAAACTTAAGACCAGAAAAGTCTGCTTGATAAAGCAATCTGAGTGCTTCTATATGACAAACTATCAATTTTCCTCTGGGCTCTTTCATACTGTGCTCCCACCACTGTATCTGACTGACACAGTGTGGTTGGCTAAAGCAAGCCTTGACAACAGCCCTCCCTCCACCTGAGGGACAGCTGAGATATTTATTTAGACACAACATACATATATAGAAGAAGATGGCCACTAAGGGAGTTTAGACACAGACACAAAGGTAACTAGCCACTGTCTACAATCTAAAACCTAAAAACCTCCCTCTGGAATTATGCATATCCATTTTGGATACAAAATCATCAACCTTCCCTAAAACAGTTGGAAAGCTATACCATGATGTTTTGTCAGCTCTAGGATTAGCTAGGACATCCCAACTATGCAGTCCTAGCTGTGCTGCCAAACCCACTCAGCATTGAAGCACTAGTTCTTCTCATGTCCAGCTGTTCAGTCAGGCACATCTTTACCAAACTTTCAACTGTCCCACTCCATTTAGGTTTCTGCAGTGCCTGATGCCCCAAACGTCTTGAAATCTGGAGGGGGTAAAAATGCTCTTTTCAACTGTAGGACTGCTCTAGGAAAAAAAAAAAATCTTCTCTTAAACAGTGTGCTAGGTTATCCTATAAGAAGTAGAAAAGGAAAGTTTAAAAAAATATCTACAATAATGAGAAATATCCTCAGATTTCCTTCATGGGATGTCTTTTATTTCACTGAGTGAGTCTAGTTTATCGATTTTATTGACTGCAATAGATCAGGTCAGGAAGCAGCAGCCTGCATGCTTACTTGTTTATGCACTCTTTCATGAACTAAAGTACATTCTGCTCTTCGGGGGAACAGGAAGGGTCTCTTTAGTCCCTAAAACCGAATTTCCAATGTTGTAAAATAATGCTAGTAATATGAGTTGTGACAGAAACATGTAGAAACATTACAGTCTGTAATTTTTTTAACACTTTGGCATAATCAACCCCAAACCAGGAGATGCTCTGGTTATCACTATTTCTCAGAGTTCTTTGCAAGATATTTGTGAAATTATAGACTATGGTTCTTAAAGCTAGAAAAGACCACATAGGATATTTCATGTACTTCTCTGTAGCACAACAATATAATTTCACCCAGCTGTGTATCCATTGTTTGCTAAAGCATACCAACCCCTCTCAGTTTGCAGACTTCAAGAAATGGTAAGCTCACTGCTCCTCTTTGTAATTTGTTCCAGTGGCTGATAACTTCATTGTTAGCAACTGAGGAGTAACACCAATCTAGGCGGCAACCAAAAAATACTGAGAATAGCACTCTCTGTTTAAACACTGATATTCCAGATAATTAACGTCCTTTTTGCCAGGTCTGTTTGTTATAAAAGCAATGAGGTTCTAAGATTTTTTAAAGCAAATTTTTGCATTTGTTTCTCATTCATTCATGTTTCTAGAAGCTTATAAAATTTGGAGGCAAATCCACGTTCTGTTTTCCATCTCCATAAGCCACAATGCCTTCAAACAATGACTGCTACTTTCTTCTGTAGCTTCCCGTGATTTTCATGCAGCTTTTTTTCAGGATAGAATGGAAGCTGCCTTCTCACAATGAAATTATTCCCATACGGATTCATAGCTGAAAGTTCATGAGAACTGCACATGCACAAAAAAGGAATAAGAAATGTGAATACTCTTTGGGATGCCACAGAACACATTTCCAGAAAAATTATAGTCTGCATTTTTGCAGATTTTTCCATCTTCAAAGTATTGGACGTGCATTCATCATCAGATATTAAATATCATAAGTGTTATTTTACTAAGGTTCAGCTTCTGACCATCACTGTCAGATCTGGCTGCTGCATTTCCAGGGGTGATAAAAACTGTTGTGTGTGACTGACAGACTCTGTAGTGCACCCTACTTTGACACATACACTGCCAGCAGCATTCCTGGAAATCTCACTCCCTGGAAGAGGGGTAGGATATGGAAAGAGTGTGTGGCACAAAAGCTGACTGCTACCATATATTAAGACCAGGTGGTCTTGATGGGTGGGCTACAACCCCCTTATCTGCCCTCCCTCTGCAAATCTGTACTTACTTTGAAGCTTTACCCTTACAAGTTCTGAGTCCTTTATTAGAATCTGAGGCTCAGCAGCACAGAGGATTAGCCTTTATTGTCTCACTCATGGCCAGGCATGTCTGAAGGTCCTTTCCTTCTGTAAAAAGTGGTTATTGACAGCAGAATTCCTGTAGAGGATAACTCCATAGTTATCCGTACATGGCAAGGGATCGTGGTGCAGTGATTCCTGAGCAAACCTGACAGCTGAGATAGTCCTGAAGCACTTGCAGAGAAGCTGCTAAGGTCCCAAAGGAGACTCAGATATGTCTGTATGGCCCTGCACCCAAGTAATCAGCCCTCGCTCTAGTTCAGAGCTACCCTGATGCAGCTCTACCAGCTCAATGCCCATCTCACCTGACTGCAGCAACCCATGGCCAGCAACTGCCCACTGCAGGGGATTGTTACAGCAATCAGCACTTCAGAAATGAATGCACAATAAAGGCATAAAGAAAGCAAGAATGTACTTTAAAGTTTCATGTTTAGCATCTGTTACACTGGCTGAGAGGGAAGGCTAAGTTTGGCTGATTTGATCAAACTAAGAAATTCAAGCATCTTCTCCCTAATTTTAGGCCAAAGAAAATTGTAGCAATGCAGAAGCAGATGATAAATCAAAAGAAGAAAAAGAGAAATTAAAGCTCAGTTCTGGCCTTTCATCTTTATTACCCTTCTTTATGCGCATATGGTAGGTGTTCAATTCTTTCCAAGTCCTTATGATACTCCCTTGTGTTTCAGGAGCTGTAGAGCTGTAGTTGTCTATAAAAAGGCAACCTAACAGTTTCCTGTGGCTGAGAGTTGAATGTGTTATTTGTTACCAGCTGGTTCATGGATAGCTTGAGCCCATGTCTTGGCTTTAAGTGATCAAACTGACTTTAAACCACTCGCTCATGGGGCACATTCACGTACAGAGAGAATTCTGTTGCAATGTTTTATTTCTGAATTATGCCATATGACTTTTTTTTCCTAAACCAATATTAAAACCAGAATCTATAATGCACCAAACACAGACTGCATTTTTTGGAAAGCTGATACCAAACGTAACAGTAAATGAACCCTTCTGAAAGGTTAAAGTTGCTTTCATATAAAACATTTTCTACCAGGAAATGGAAGTGGAATGTTGAACTAAGCTTTTAACTTGAAAGAACTGTGCACAGACTCCAATGGTTACATTATACTTTAAAATAAAAAAAAAGCAGAGGGTTTTTTATGAGCATACATAGTTCTAGCTTCATAAAAAGGGTATTATGGTGACAAGGCAAAATGAATCCCAGTATTTGGGATGCTTCTTTTAACCTCCTAAAAGCTTCCTCCCTGTCCATTAAATATTGTAGGGTGAGATTTCACAATATATTAAAATTCATCTAACAGTTCTGCTCCCTTCACTTCCCCTGCATCCTTTCTTCCCTGACGTGCAGGCCCATTCCTTCCCTTCCACTTTCTGATTTTCACATGGCTCCTTGATGAATGTAATTGGATTACTAAGCCAACAGAAAGCTATCCATGTTTTATTTTGCTGAGTTGGTTTCCTACCAGCTGGCAAGGTGAACCAGCTCTAAGGGTTGTACAAAAATCAGAGCTGGTGCAGAAGCAATGGTTGAGAACAGCACTCAAGATTTTCATGGAAGACCTCAAACCCTTAAAGCACCTATTCTAAACAATGTGATTGCCTCTTAACAATACACTTGCTGTTTGAGATAGTACAGTAGATTCTGCAAAAAACTAATGGATGAAAATTATCATACCAGATTTGCCACATAGAGAGGACAGCAAAGATTAATGCAAACATACACCATGGGGTGGTTGCCCATTCTCAGGAGCAAACATTCCTGCATGAGGGCAGTGACCTCATGACACATCTTTGCACAAAGCAATCAAAAATGTCTGTTTCCTGTTTCTTTCACTTTGGAAGGAAAAAAAAATGCCAACTTTATACAGTTTCCTTGAACCTTTATATTGATTCTGTGATCATTCAGGAAAGGAAGAAGCCTTCCAAATGACTTTGACGCATTGAGCTACTGTTGATTTGCCAGATTCCAGTGTCCTCAAGTGTGACACAACGTTATTATTCAGTGTCCTGTATTTAAAATCAGAAGTGATTTAAGCTGGCTCTCTGCCACACCACTTGCTGACATGTTGACACCATGTAAATAATGCATAGCTCTGTGACCACACTACTTTCATGCCACATGCTGGGAGAAACAGACAACGCCTGCTATTATTATTAGCTACATCTTAGATACCTTGGAAATTTGAAAAATTAACATCAAAATAACTTTAAATATTTGTAGTCTCCAGCTCCAAACTTCTTCATTAAAAATCAAAAGAAACCTCTGCATCCACTGTGATTAGGAACAGAGATTGCTGATTTATATCTCACATCTTTTAACAGTCGCCCTTCTAAGATTGTTTATATAAGAGTTTAACTGATACAAGAACACTGGCAAAACTTTTTTCTGCTGACTGAAAAGACCACCGTTTTAGAAGAAACCTCAAAACACAACAAAACCCCAGTTCTAGACTGCAAAATTTGGTATCAGAAGTTGCTCCCTGCTAAGAGTACACAGTCTATTTCTACTCTTCAATCATTTCAAAAGGTAAACCTACCTTTAGAATGCCATCATGGCATGCTCATCAAACCCAAGTGAAATTGTGGTTTTCGCAGGGGAGCACTGTAAATCAAAAAGAGTATATTTAATATGGTACCTACTTCTTACATGAGAGTCTTTTATCATCTAAATATCATGCAACCCCAGCCATATTGAGGACAGACAGCAATACATGCTGCTTCTCACAGGACATTTAACAAGACTGGAAGTTAACATCTATATCAGTGGTGCCCAGTCACTGCCCCATACATTCTCCCCTTCATTTCTCTGACTGCCAAACAGAGAAGGGGCTGATTGTATTTTTACCTTTTTGCAGTTTACAAAAATGGAAAAATTGCTATTCTTCATTTCCCTGGGCCTATGTTGTCAGAGCAGGCTGTGATGTGCATTTTTCCTGTGAAGACACACAGGAGTAACTATCAAGTCAGGAGGCACAACAGAATACAACAATGAAAAACAGAAAACAATAAGTTGAGTGGTTACAAGAAAAAGGTAGAAGTTGGGGTGACTATGTTATTGTGGAGAAGTCACCTCAATCTTCATTCTGTGGCCATCACTAGCGAAATGTGCCTGTAGAGAGATGCATTTTCCTACTGACTTTAGAATCTCAAAGCCTGAAATAAAAGGATATCTGACTCAAAACCAACGAACTCTGCAACTGCATCATAATTTCTCAGGGCAAAACAGATGTACACATCAAAATGCCTTGGCCAAATAAATTCCTTTAGAAACTTTGGAACACAGCAAACATAAAAAAGAAAGGGAGGGGTTCTTTTCTTTTTCCACTCCTATGAGACAGAGCACACAGAAATTTGGTTTCTTTCTGTTCAAGGATGAATGCATTGGACAACATTCTGTACTTGTCCACATTGTTCAAAAGGATCAGCATTTTGCGAGTCCCAAACCAAGACCAATTCTTTCTGTTTTCTCCATTAAGAAGACCAGGAATCTTGTGGTCTCTTTTCAAAGGAATGTCTTTGTCCAGAATCTTGCCTCAGAGATTTATTTTCGCTATGTTATTTAGAACAGAAAAGAACACTGGAATGACTTCCTAATTTCTTTAGTAAATCTGTTCTTAATCTACTTTACTCCAAGCATTTTACAGACAGTTTCTTACATGATGTTCTACTCTGAAATTCTGTAATTACATACACAGTGGTCAAACTTTCTCTTGACCAGAAAAGATTGGCAGTAATTCCAGGAAATTGAAAGGAAAAGTTTGGGGGAAAGAGTAGGATGGTTGAGAAGATAACTTAGTGCTTAAGATGTGTTTTCTGTTCTAACAGCTTCTCTGGTTAATGAGTTGCCCCTCACAAAGTAGTGACAATGCCTGTCTTGTGGAAGTTTTCTACAGTTTTTCTTTTGCCTGGGGTTTGGATTTCACAAGGCTAACTAGATTGCCCTTGTCTAGGAAAGCCCGGGGGTGAAGCCAGATGGTGTCTGTGTGCAAAGATTGAAAGTGGGGAAAGGGTAGTGGCTGAAAACCAGGGAATAAAAACCACTGAACTAGATGAGTAGGTTAACAACAAGAAGTTAACAAGAAGTTATGAAGCGGCATGACAAGGGTAATGAAGTGTGTTTTTCACAGGCCAAAATGTAAGCATTTTGAGGGGAATGTCAAATGTGTTTGGGCCTTTTTTCCAAAGTCCATTCAAAGTTTTCTTCACCAAGGTATTCTCTCTTCCTTCTCAATGAATTCTTGTGACAATTTTATTAGCTACAGAAAATTCCTCTAAATTCTTGTTGCTAGATATATACCTCTGTACACAAGAATAAATTATTCCAAACGAGTCTAGTACTAGACAAGTAGCAAGTAAAAATAGCACAACTTGCACATTCTTACTAAGAGCTAGCTCAGCAGTCAGCAGCACTGCCTGAACAATCAACTATAAAAGCTCTTGTTTTGTGATAACCTGATTTGAATATTTCCTCTACCAAAATGTCCTATTTCAGTGACTTAAAATGTACAGGTCAGTAGCACATTTTTGCAGCTGAAAGAGCAGATTCTGGGTTAATGTGGGATACTGACAGCAGCAATCAGTCTCTTTGGAGGAAATGGTGTGCTCTTCCTGTGGTTTCTCAACTGTGGAGGGTGAAGGAACACGGCAAACAGGGACTCTGACACATTTAAAGGGAAGTTTTCTGATGGTGAGTGTTTCTAGAGTTTGATCTGGTGTCCATATTTACAGACTCGAGCATATGTGGTTTCACAGAAACGTTCAGAAGGGAAGAGAGAGGAGATGATCAGCACATGCATGAGCTGTGTCCTGAGCTGGTTGAGAAGGGTGTGCTGGGTGCCAGGCCAGGCTGGTGACAGCAGTGGCACACAGCTGGGGATGCCATCACAGCTGTGGCAAGAAGCTGGGTGGAAGGGCAGAAAATGCACACATGTACCCGAGCCAAATCAGAGCCCAGGGCAATTCATTTTCTTGCTTCTAAGTTCTGTCATTTGTAGAGAAGTTTCAAGTGACACCAAAAATAGCATTCTTTTAATACATGATAATTAATGATTATTATCCTATCCATACAGCTTTTTGAAAATTTTCTGTGATAAGCAGGGCTACATTTTTAAATTTCTACTGTCAACATTTTAGTTCACTTCTAAAAACATGCTCAATTCCACACGAGTGTAATCTCTGTTTACAGTTCCAGCGTTATAGCCTTACTTATCTGTTCTCTTTGGCTAATGTGGCTTGATGATTTCACTCTGTGATTTCCCTTTTCAATTACATATATCAGATAGCAGATATTCATATTTCCCTTCCTTACATCATGTGACACATTTTCATAATGCAGTGATAACATGGCAGACTTGCTTTTGAGAACTAGCCTTGATCAACTCTACAGCATATCTTAGAAATTAGCACTAATTTTTACAGTATAAATTAGGGAATGCAAGTGAAATTGAAAATATTGAATTCTGTTTTACGTCTGTAGAAACTCAGTACTCACTCCGAGGATTCATTTGTTATTTAAATCTAATTCTATTTCTGAAACAGCCTCTTTAAAACGGTATCTGCTTCATCTCTGTGCCAGGCTGGTCTCTCTGATATGACTGATGCTTTGGAAGACATTGCCCTTGAAGGAGGCTGCACTTGCAGCAGAGCACTTGAAAGCCAGCGAGCTGGGATAAACAATGGGGAAATCAGACACCTACTGGGGCTGCATGGAAAAGTGGTGAATCAGAGTTTCACAGAAAACTTGGTGAGGGTGCTGGGTTACAATTTTGAAGTTGTTCAGTGTTCCAGATAAATGTGTACTTAGCTTTCTGAAAAGAGCTTAGGTATCTTAACTCTGCTTACTTCAGCTCAAGGTGACTGCTTTCAAACTCCTCAAAACTGCAAGAGGCAACTACTTGAATGTTAAGATAGGCTTAAAAATCTGAACCCCAGCTTTTGATGAGCAGTAGTCTCAGTCTGCCAGCTCAGTTCAGTCTTGAACTCTCCACTGTATAAGTGTTGCCTGCCTACCCACTAGAAGTAGGTCATTACCACCCATCTGAACAGTAACTCAGAAGTAATGAATGGGAAATATCCCTCTTGGCCTGTATTTGAAGTTGTGACATAGAGGTAAAAAGCTAACCATGTCTTTATAACCTTATTATCCTAACCCTCCAGTCTTACCAGCCTTCATACTTCTAATTAATCCTGCAATAAATAAATACCTTACTGACAGTTTTTCCTCAGGCTTGGTATGAGTAATCTGACTACATCTGGAAAATTGCTGTGAAAAAAGATGTTGTGAAATAATTTTTCATTCTAAGAGATTTTTTTTATTCTAAAGATATAAATTTTTTAGATTTAAAAGAAAACATTCTAAACTAGAGTCAATGTGTCTGAAACTAGAGCAAAACCTACACGCTCCAGTTACAACAAAGACTTTTTTTTTAGGTTGCTAGCAATATTTTATAAAAGGCAGAAGAATTTGTGCTTTTAAGATTATATCAGTGAAAGATCTAACAAGCCAAAGTGCTTTTCTTTTCCATTCCAACTAAATCATATACTATTTGGGGTAGAAATTTGGCAGGAAACTCTCTTGTATTATCCCTAAATTGTGGCTGGACTGATTTCTTTATCCTTTTTTGATAGATGGATGTCTAGCTGAGCCCTGAATATCTTCAGCAGTGCTGATTCCAAAGCTTCATTTGGCAGCCGGTTTCCTTGGCTTTGAATTTTTATGTTTATAAACTTTTCCCTGATATATAATTCTAAATTTTTCCTCACAATGCCTCAAGCCACTTCTTGCTTGCTTGCTTGCTTGAACTAATGAGAATAATCAAATATCATCTCTTTTTCATTTAAGTCTCTATTGCAGACAATAAGAGGTCACTTTAAACTTCCTGGAATTAACATGATTGAATTAATCTCAACATAATACTGTGGGCCTTATTTTGCAAGCCTACCATCCATTTTCTTACATAGCTCAAGATTTAGACAACTTTTTAAAACAAGTATCTAAAACCAGTTACAGTACTTCAGCACATAACCATAAAAGACCATAAACAAGACTAAAGTTTTCCCTTCTCATTATGTATATTCCCATGGATTATGTTGTATAAATTGTTATACTAGCCAATTATATGGACCTTTCATCATTCTAGGAAATGTAATAGCCTGCACAGCTGAAAAATATCAGTGCTGCAAAAAAGAATGATGCTGATTGTTGAGACAACAGTTGGAGACTGACTCTATAGAGTAAAGAAATGACATAGCACATCAGAATCAGCAATTGCACCAAATTGGGAGGTTGGTGTCTTTGTAACCACTCCAAGACATTTAAGTAAAGACAAGGAAGGAGAAATTTATTTCAAAGAGAATAAAGACAACTTGGAGAAAAGGACAGTAGGCGATGAATTGCCATCTTTGAATATGAGGGAGCTGAGGGGGGGTGGGTCTAAAACTGGCTAAAATGCTTTGGGAAGCTGTTTCTACATTGGCAAACTGCAGCAGACTGTTAGCTATGCAGCACCAAGGTGCATCACTCAGTTCATGGCTGAGGACTCTGAGATAAACGAGTCTGAACTGCAACTTGAATGCTGAAAATGGTAAAGCAAGCTAAGTCCTACCTTTCCTACAAACAATTCCTACCCACTAACAGTTTCTTCCTTGATACATGCAGAGTTTTGTACATTCCCTCCCAAGGTACCCAGTCATGGTCCTTGGCACAGTACATCTTTTCTGGATAAATTCTACTGGGTGCATTAGAACACAGGAATTCTTTGGTAGGCTTAGCCTGGGTTGGATTTTCACAAAATGATCATTAAACCAAAAGTATTGAGCACCTGATAGCTTCTGCAAATTCCTCTAAACAAATGTTGATCCTGACTTTGAGCAACTGACTGCAAGGGATGGTCATTGCAGCTTCATGGCTCAGAAAACAAGATGCATGAACACACAAAGGTGGATCAGGATAGTTTGACTCTGGGAGTCTTTTCTATTAACAGGATGAGCACTTGGTTCAGACTGTGTTTGCTCAAGCTTCTGGACACATCACATTCCCATCAAACATGCTCATATAACTAGTGGGAGCTGTACCAGAAGGCAGCCATTAGTCTAATTTGCCAAGGCACTCTCACACTACTAACCTGGCATGCATCTTTCTAGTTCCCATGTAATTGTTTACATTTTGTCAGGAGTTACACAGTACCAAACGTGCCAAGATCATTCAAATGTTTTTGACCATTTCTCTAGTTCAGTTCCAACCATCAAAAGTAACTCAGTCAATTCCAATTATAAAATAAGTTCTTCATCTGGCCATTCATCCCTTGTAGTGACAATTAAATAAGTTGTTTTAAAGTAGAAGTATTATGACCACTGAATAGAAAATTCACAATTGCCTCAGAGCTGACCTTTCCCAGGTAGCCTTTAGCCACTATGCCATTTCCTCTGAGCTGTGAGCCCTTTAACCCCTGCATGTGCATCAGGAGCTGTGTGTTCAAGGAACACTTAGTTCTTCTTTTCACTGTAGGACTGTCACTTTTAAGATGTGAGAAATGTGGTTGTTTTTTTAAATAAAGGAAGTGTGAGTAATTCTGTGAAGCCACGAAGACCAAACTCTGCATACACATTTGTTCCAACACCTCACATCATTTTATGTTTTGAAGTTACGATGTCCAAAATAACATTACTAAAATTACAGTGCTTTTATGCTATCAAATCCATCTAGGAGAATCATTTTCCTGACAATGAGGATAAAATTTCCCAAATCAGGATACTGTACTTGCAAGTTATTTTACTCCATTTGTCTACTTGATAATCTGTTGCTAAGCATTACTGCTATATACAAACCACTCAGCAATATTGCTCCCGTGTTGAAGAGCCACTCGACACCACCTGACTTTGAGAAAAGTTTGGACTTGCTGGGATACCTGTTTTTACATTTAGATTTGTCTCTCCCACTGGTTCATAACTGGAGGATGCTGTAGGATGCCACATACCTAAATGTGTGCCTGGAACATGTGACTGCAGGCTTTGATAGAAGTAGGCAGACAAGCCTGCTCTCTGATGGAACTGTCCTCTCAGGTGCAGCTGCACTGATGTGCAGTCTAGAAAATAGACACTTTGAATTCACTCCTGCATTAAATATTTGCATGGCCATTAGCCCAGCAGGAAACCTCATGCTCCTGAGCTGCTGCCTGTTATCATTCAGGTCCTATCTGCTTCAACCAGCTCTAGATGATTGAAGCACAGGCTATAGTAAGCTCAATGAGAAGCTGAGCACAGGGACCTTGGGGAAGCAACTAAGGAAGCAACTATGGCCAAACCTCTGGCCACACAAGCTATTCACCTGAGCCTTGCAAAGCAACAAGGTACCCCACCACACCCCTCAGAAAACCAACAGTGTATGGGAGGACACCCAGGATCAATCAGCAGGAGAAGATAATCCACTCACCACCAGTACATAGACACATGTAGATACTGAACCTGTCAGGCCCTGGGACAATCTGGCAGTATAAATTTCAGAAGCAGACATGGGTTGCTAGTACATCCATGTGTATACTCACCTCCTGACCAGAACACCTTGCTGGAAGGCTTAAAGGGCTCTCAGGATGGGATAACTCACCTTCAAGTCATACTGAATCATGTGCAGCCTATAAACAGACTCGCTCCTACTTCCATATCTTGTCTAAGGGCAGTGATGCTTTTGAGGCAGGCATCCCTATGAAAAAAAGAAATACTGTCAATGCTTTTTTGAGGTTCAGAAACTCTGAATCTTACCACCTTTTGACCAAAACAGTTAAATATGGTGACATTTCAGGCATGAGCAGCTTTGTTATATATTATTTGAGGATGATAGAGCATATGTTCTTAGGTGGGTGAAAGGAGAAAAATCAGGCCAATTAATTAATTTCCTGAATGCTTCTTAGTACAGCTCAGGAGAATCAATTTCTAATTTGAATGAGGTGTCAGGGAGACTAAAAGCCTTGTTTATACAAATACCTACATAAGTCACTAATGTAAATGAAATTTATTCTATCCCAAGTCTGGCCATTTAGGTCTATGATAAAACTGACAAATATGGCAGCAGCCTGAGACCTCACAGAAGCTTCTTTTAAAGAACTTCTAAACTTTCACCTCACCTCTTTAAAGCATTTTTGCAGGCACATGCACCTCAAATGTTTTATATAGCTGGTAAGCTAAAACATATGAGGAAGAAACAGCTTGTTCTAAGCCACAGGAGAAATCTGTATCCAAGCTAAAAATTGGATTCAGTAGTGATATCCTGTTCTTCTCACTGAGCTTTCAAGACCACAGGGCAGAAATGATGCTGTCCATGAGTTAAAGCTGTTTCCCTTCTTTATGAAAGAAAAGTGGCCATGATGACACTTGTGGCTCTACAGTTTGCCTTATTACAAAACGGAAGATAATCCTTATTTTAAAGCATCCATTCCAGTTTAGTTAGGCTGAGTTTTAAGTGTTTAATGTACTTTAAGTAGAGGCCATAGGAACTGTAAAAAGCTGAGCATGTTTAATCCATCCTTTCAGCTGTAATGTTCAAATACTTACAAGAAAAAAAAATCTATAGACAGAGCAGAAGCACAGAGAAAACAATTCAAGTTTCCTTACTATTTTGTGCTACAGAAATCAGTAAGATTAATTCTTCTCCTTGAAATGCTTTATAGTCTCTTTGAAAATAAAACAAAGCATGTATAACTACACAGGTGATTTTCAGCACGTGACCTCTGATAAATTTTGGTTCTTTGGGAAAATGATGAAATTGTGTATAAAATCATAATTAAAAAAAAAAAACTGAAACAGCATAAATTAGACAGTGAAAAAATGGCATTGAGGCAGATTTCAGGAAATATCTTTTCTTTTTCTTTTCCAGTGTTACATTCCAAGATATTTTTAAATCATAGATATTGAAAACAGATTCCCATACAATTCTTAATAAGTTACAGTAGCCACCAGAGTTAGTGGTTCCTAACATGTGGCAAAAAATATAATACTACTAACTCAAGCCATGTCATGCTGGTATTTTACCAGCATTCCTCATGCTATTGTTACAATTCCACTAGTTTCATGGCATTTAATTTTTTTCTGAATGTAAGAACAGATTATCTCCCTGTCTGATATTAACAGTGAGCAGCATAATCACAATAACCATGGTACATTTCATCCCATTGTCTCAAGATACTTTGATCCTTACCTCTGATTTTGGAGATTGAGAAATTTCAACTCAGAATAATGAGGTGGCTCTCTGGAATCAGCCAACAGTAAGGTCACTGTAGGGCCTAGAATGGAAAAAACAAAAGCAGAATTTCACAAACTTTACAAAGCCTACCAGGTCTAACACAGAGAAGAGTTATAATTCTCATCACCTGCCTGACAGTGATGCTGTCCACATGAATCTCCAGGGGAAGGGAAGAGGGAAGGGGAGGGGAGGGGAGGGGAGGGAAGAGAAGAGAAGAGAAGAGAAGAGAAGAGAAGAGAAGAGAAGAGAAGAGAAGAG